TGGAATTTGTCTTAATGTTACAACCAAGTGAAAATGTCAGCAGTGAATCTTGTGTCAAAACTTGGCTTTCCCTGTTCCTTGCGTGATGAGGATGAGACTCTGCTTGTCTTAGAAAGGAAATCCAAGAACGGATCTTAGATCTGTGAGTTGTTCTTGTTGTTAATAGAAAAGGACCAGTGCAATTTTTCTTTCTAGAGCAAACTTACAAATAGTCCACAGGGCACATATGTGTGAGATTGGTTCTGTTACAGAAAAATGACTGTAATGTGAGTTCAGTTGGTTAATGATGAGATATTTTGATGGTGTTTTTAGTGTTTTCTGACATTTCTTGTTTGTGATTGGAACTGAGGAAGAGAGAGACTTTCCAGCCCATAAAAATGTCTCTGCTGAATATATAGTACATGCAAATTATGCAGAAAAATTGAGATGCAATGATTTGTGTTCTTTCACTCCCTACTCCTATCCACCAAACAATCCTAAAAACTTTCTGTCTGGGAACAGTGATGCATTTGATGCTTTTTAACAAAGTACTTCTAGACTTCTATGCAGAGTTTCCTGAACCATTTGACAGAACTCCACTAGAAGTCCCAAGATCAGTCTAATTATTAACAAAAGGAGTGCAGAAATAAAGATCTGGGGCAGCATCTGCAAAATGCTCAATTTTGAAAACCAGGTGAGTAAATTTTAGCCTGCCCTCGTATGGTCACAACATTCTGGGTGTGAATTTGGCCCTGACTAGTTATAGCTTGCAAATTCCCTTAACTGTTGTGATTGTTGTAAACTCAAGAATTGTTGTTAAATTAGACAGCAGCTCTGTGTACCTAAAACAAGCAGCGACTGGGGCTCTTAGGATGCAGTCTTGCTGCAAAATATTTGAGGCACCTGCCTTGGAAAAATGTGAAAACCCCTTCTAGGTTTGCTTCCACAAATGTTTCTTAATGCCAGCTTTAATTTATGCTCCAAAGTCCCATATTGTTCAGTGTTCAGAGAAAGAAGGCCCTCTGCAATGAAATATTAGACATACTTCCAGACTGCAGCTCCAGGAGCTGTAGTTGCATGCTGGAGAACAGATGTTCTCCTTACTCAATCTTTGGACTATTTGCATTGTGGTGTTTGTAATTCATGGTCTAATGATGTAATGTGTTTTGAAATTATGCTTTAAAAAGAGGCCTTCTCCACACAGAATTCAGCACCAAGCCAGGAGCTGTGGTGGCACCACTTTATTACCCAAAGCTAATTCCTGGTACTTGCTTTTGTACAGCCCCTGACTTGGGCCCTAAACAGTATTTTTCACATGGAGAAAAACCCCTCATGCACACATATATTATAAATGTTTACACTAAAAATACATGTATATGCATGGCTTGTACTACATATACAAAGATATGTACTACATATCTTGTGCTCTATTTCTTGATGCTAAAATAGTCACTGGTGAATTAGATAATGTACCTATTTGGAAGTTGAGTTTTATTGAGAGAAAGATGATCTCATTGTGATTATTGAGTGAAGGGCTGAACTTCTGTCTTCTGAATTCAGGGCCTTTTGGAACACATGTCAGAGCAACTTATTGTAAGCTGCTTCTTTTTGGATACTCCTCTGGCTTGGACTAGATGCTTAATCTCAGCAGCTGCTGATTTTTTTTTCACAAGAATATAAAGGCAACTGAACACGGCAAATTCCCTATGAAGCTAATTCTCTTAAATTCCTCTGTTACTATTTGCTGGAGAAGTATTTCTCTGCACTGAAGGACAGCTGTAATTTGGGTATCATTATAAAGGAGGTTCCTGAAATGAAATAAAATGGAATGAAATAAGAGCAGCAGCAAGAGCTCAAATCACTGTTCTGTTTCAGTCTGTCTCTCCTGATTAGACTTTGCAGAGTAGTAAACCTAGCAGGCTATGTCTTGATCATGGTGGATGTTTATTATGATGATACCTGCTCCAACAAAGCATGAAAAATGAAGTTCAGATATGCTTTGGTGTGGTGTGCTGTACATATATATGGTCAGCTGATCTGGTAAAATGAAATGCAAATCTCCAAATTCCGTGGTTGCTAGAGAAAGTGTTGCAGCGTTACTCTCTTGCAAGGGCTCAGAAAATGCTAGATGGATTGAATGAAGAGTTTTGCTTATGAAGGTATGCAGAAATATACAGTGAGTTCAGTGTCTCTGCTATAGACTATTATCGCTGCTTCTTTGCTCAGGCTGGAATAAGAAGCTAAAGAACAAGCTGCCTGTTGAGGAGGAGATTATACTCTTCACTCGCAAAAGAGAAGCATCAACTTAATATTGCTATTAAGTTGTGATTTAACAAAGCTTACATGACTTAACAAAATTTGTGATGGCAAGGTCACTTGGTTATGTACTGAATAGAGAACAGAGTCAGACACAGCTGTTAGGGAGATCCTCCCATTGAGTCATGTTCAGAATAAACCCCTTGTCCTATGGTTTATGTCTAAAGGATTGTATGTGCAGTCAATCCTTTATATACTCAATACCATATAGCAAGTTATCAAGCTATTGCAGATAAGAAGTCTTTCAGTCTTGCAAGAAGTAAAATTTCAAGAAGCTAGCTATTAGTCCCATACCAGTTATCTGTAGCAGGTAAGGAATCTCTTGATCTCAGGGAATAATGTGGAGAGGATAACCTTGCTCAGAGGACAGATCCAGCCTGCAGCCTACTGCAATGCAAGCTCCACAGGCTCTGGGCTGTCAGCTGTTTTTGGAGTAAGATGATTGACTACTGATCATATTTGCATACTAGCCACATTGGGTTGGTGCTATCTCCGCTGAATCTACCTCGAGCCTGGTTCAGCTATCACAACCAGACCAGAGCATCACAGCTGCCACTGGTGGTTATCACCTTAGCAGGGTTAGGGGTCAAATGTCAGTTTTGGGGTGGGCCAGAGGGAGTATGCTGCCACGCTGCTGTTTCAGTTTGTAGCATAGTTAGAGAGCAACTAGAATCACAGAGTCATGGAGGCATGGAGTCATTTGGGATGGTAAGAATCTGTAAAGATCATGCAGTTTAAAAACCACTGTCATTGTCAAAGACATCTTCTACTAGATCAGGTTTTTCAAAGCTCCAGTCAACGTACTCTTGAACATTTGAGCATGGAGAAGAAATGGGAGTTTACAGGTCCACCCCACGAGAAGCTGGGGCAATTCAGAAGGCCTGTTTTTTTCCAAAGTCAGCCACACCATGGTGGTGTGGTGACATTTCCTCACTGGCCTGAAGCACACAAGTTTAGAAATCAGTGAACTAACTGTATCTGTTTGTTCTATCTGCCTAATCTTACTTGGATAAATCGATTAGCTATATCATATTTTTTGAGGTACTAAACTCTGTGCTAAAATTTCAATAGGTAATTATCACCGTATCAAGCCTGCTGGTTCACAAGAATATTTTTGTAAACATTGTGGCCATTGCACTGTAGTAAAATAGATTTTATTGAGTTACCTATAATGACAAGTTGCTGACACACTGCGCCTTTCACTTCTGGACATTTCGTGATGTGACTTTGGAACCAGTGTTTCAAAGAAAGTGCAAGGTGTCTCTGATTGCCTTCTCTGAACAAGCTATGAATTACTTCACTGTCTCAGACACCTTGGAAATATTTCTCTTTTCTTATCACTCTGGAGCTCTGAACAGAAGTCATGCAGTTAACAGGAAGGGGAGAGAACTCAATATCTTGTAGGAATTAATCTGGCCAGCAAAACTTGTGCAAGATTTAAATGCTAAAAGGGGGAAGTCATATTTTTATCACTGTGCAGAACAGAAGGCAGTGGTGGTGGAGTTAGTTTTTATCAGGTCTTTCTGATGAGAGATTTTAATAATACCTGGTAAAATTACAGTATTAACTACTGCACTGTAGCATTTGAAACACTAAGGCAAGCTTTATTTTCCCACTAGTTTCTCTGCACATTGCCAGGTGGCCTTTGCTTACCACTGCTGATTAGTTGCTTCAAACATGTTTCAAACTACATTAAAAAAAAGATAAAAACAGAAAACCATGGGTAAAATTAGCAAAAAAGGAGTGTCTGGTTGACATTTTTGTGTGTGAAGTATTGTAGGTGTAAGACAGGTGTCAGGATTGTTTCCCCAGAAAGGACAGGACAATTGCTTCCTTGTAATTAGGTTTCATTTGAAGAGTTTGAAAGAAGGAGAAAAAAAATAAATCCCTTAGTCAAGTTGTCTTTTCCGTTAACCTGTTGGCTTCAGTGGAGTTTGATATGATTAAGCAGAGATGTGCCAGCTTCCTTCTTTCTATGCTTCACACTGCTCAGTGGAGCATGTTTGCCAGGAGCTTGATTCGTAGTGTAGCCTTTAGATAGGCACAGATGGAAATGAGCAGGTTTCCCCTCCCCCCCCACTGATTTCAAGTTCCAGCCATTCAGCAAGTTCTTTGGGACTCAGCTGCATTTGGTTTAAGGTAGAGCCACACTGAGGCATTAAACATGCTTACAAGTGTGTTATTTCACAGCTCATGGTGTGTGCGATAGGCTAGGATGCCAGTTTTATTGGGAACGCTCCAGTTACAGAGCCTCTTGATGGTCAAAAGACACATACAGTTGTCTGACTTCAGAAAAACCTAGGTAGCAGAGGTGACATAGTGAGCAGGTAAACAGGTGGTGGGAACAGATCAAGGAGAATCACGCTGAGGTTTCACTTTAGGGTATGTTTTAACATTGTGGTCAGGATCTGGGTCAGTTACTTGGCCAGGCCTGAGCATGGCTATGGCTAAACTGGAAACAGATAAACCTACAAGGTACCTCTAATAGGAACTGAACCTAGTTAATGGCTTAGCAATTAAAACTGACTTAATTGAGCCTCTGGGTCCATGAGCAGATGTGTGGGTGGATGCACAGGTGAGGATGATTAGGACCATTAAGGGCACCTGTTAGTGCCCTAAGTTTCAGCTTTAGTTAACATGCAAACTGTGAACTGCAAGTAGATAAAAGATTGCTTCTATACTGACCACTTCTTGTGTGCTTACAGAAATTTCATCGTCTCTTCTGCTCGCTTTGCTCAACTTAAATGGTGAAAACTTTTGAAATCAGTTCTGCAGGAATTAAGGTAGGTGAAAATATTTTTTATTTGACTCTCTCAGAACTGCAAAGGAGAAGCTTTTGGCTGTATGGGTGGAATGATCAGATCCTTAAAGATGAGAAAGAGAATAGTCTCTGAGGAGGAGTTCTGTGTAACAGGCAATGTAAAATTTTTACATGCAAACTCTACTCTTACTCTTACTCTATGTGTCCATAGGTAAAATGTTTTACGTTCTCCTAATGGATTCTAGGTTTTCATTATGTGTAGAAATAGCATTTTGGAGCATTGAATCCTTTTTGTTAACATCTAAAGCCTGAATTAACTAATGTAACAAATTGCTGTTTTGAAAAAAGTTAGAAGCTCCTTGCATACTGTATCACAGTGACCTTGTGCTATTGCTCTTGCAAGGGCAATCTGAAGTTGCTTCTTTCTTGTGCACCAACCTCCTGTGGGTATTGAAGACTAAGAAATGTGAGCTTCCCTGTTCTGGAAGTTGAGCTAGAAATACTGCGGCATCAGGGTTTCTTGAGAGGTTTCCAGCATGTCTTGTTTTGGACTAGCTGGACATATGGTAGGAACAGACTTTCGTGTGGTGTTTGAGTTGTGTTTTTCCACTGATATTCACTGATAAAACTAGCAAGGGCAGAGGGATGTGAAAATAATTAAGACAACAGATAAATATAATCTGCTTTCTCAGAGCTCAAAAGTTTGCTTTTGGCTCAGCAGAAGTTTTGAAGAAGTTTCAAACTAGAATTACTGCTTTAGCTGGTGGTGTACAGTTGTTTTTTTTTTTTATGGTGTTCAGTATGGGGTTTTTAATGTCTGTCTCTGTTATTATATTAGCATTTGCTAACCTTTGTGAATAGATTCTGGTTGAGTTAATAGTGAAAGAGGACTTCATGATGCTGGGAAAGGTGGTTTCAGAGTCTGAAGAGAGTGGTATTGACCAGAGAGAGGAAATAAAGAAACAGAGCACTTGAGTCTTTGGCTTTCTGGATATATAAGCTTGTTTAACTTATCCATTACTTCTGTTTTGAGGGCTTGTGTCCTACTTCCCACTTTCATTTGGCACTGGGTCCTTTCTGTCTACTGTTCTCAGAAGGAAAGTGTGGGCACAATGCTGATTTCATAAGTCTGGACCAGTGTTTCTGGTTAGGGACATTAGTTATTGCCATCCTGGCTTGGAGCTGTTTACATAAGACAAAGGCATTGCAGACTGAAATCCTAATCTTGCAAGCCTTCCCATGTGATATGTGTTGAAAAACTTGCATTTGAAATCAATGAACTCACCTCTCAATAGAAATCTTTCCATCCCTATTGCCTTCAGCCCTTCCTATCCTAGAATCACTGGCAGTAACCAGCTTTTCATGGGCTGATGTGAACAGAGAACTGCGGAGTGTCTCTGGTCACAGCTTTTCATGTGGGTAGTGGCAGAATTAATCACTTAAGTTTTACAGTTAAAATTCAGTTATCAGCTGCCTTTGGGGATCCTACGTTAGATGCCAAGTGCTTGTGAGAATCTGGGTCAAGTGAGGAGTTCCAGGTGCTTAGAAGAGGCATAAAAGAAAGCAGCTAAACTTCACAGTTGGGCTGTTCTTATTGACTTAAAGGTTTGTTTGAAGGTACCAGAAAATTGCTTAAAAAAAAAAATCCAAACAAACATGTTTTCAAAGGAAGCAATCATATACTCTAGTCCCTTCTGCAGAAGAAAAAATTATGTACCCTCTGGGTTTCTGTTTGTTTTTCTTAGTAAACCTTGAAGCTACATTAACTTTAAACAAGTACGTGCTGCTCCCCTTCACAATTCTCTTCTTTGAAGCTATTTGAGTTAATGTTTGTTGGAGGACCTGAGGAGGAAAGAGACAGAGCTGGGGTCATAGACATTCTCTTCACATCAGAAAGGTGTATGCTTTAAACCTGTGTTCTGGGGAGAAAATTACATATTGCTATTCTATATAGCCTGGATCTCTCATTTATACAGAGACATACCTATAAACTTGGCTTTAATTCTCTGGGGAGATTTTGGTGTTCTGATTACGCATTTGATTCCCTGCATTAATCTTGGGAGCAGGTGAAACCATCACCCACTGATAGCTTTTTGTATTCATTTAGTGTTTGGGAGCTGGAATGCTTTTCTTCCAGGACAGCTGATGTAGTTGGAGAACACGGAGGAAGGGTGCAATGGATAAGAAAGGATGGAATATTTCTTGCTGGGGGAATTTCTCACGTGTCTGACCTGGCATCTTCCTCTCAGATAAACCATATAGGTTATCTTCAACTGTTTTTTATTTGTTCTTCATTATTAATTGATAATTATAACTAAGCCTCATCCAAGGATGTAGGTGAGAAACCAAGAACCTAGTGGGAAGTTCTGTTAATTTTAATAATATAAAAGCTAGTTAGGGCTGAATGGCAAGGAGTGAGTACCTCCCCAGAAGCTGTATCTGGCATAAGTAGACAAATGGGAGCTGGATACAGCCCATCCATAGTCGAGGAAACCCATTCCTGGTGTGTGGATTTAAGTCCTCTCTCTTGCAAGAGCAGCCTTCAAGTGTGGTTGCCCAGGCTGAGAGGGTGGTGCTCAACACTGAAGGGGCAATACACCTGGCTCTCAGCTCCTGCCACATGGCTTGGAGTGATGAAGTTGTTAGGGCTTCTGTACTGTTACTGTTATCAGGCAGGATTCCAGCAAAATCAGGTTTGAGCAAGGCCAAACTAGCCTTATTTTTGTGCACAATATCTACAGAGCCTTCTGAGCTTTGGATCTGCACTTTCAGATCATGACAAGATCCTTGCTTGCAGTCTTGCAGGGAGGACAAGGTTGCACGAGGCAATATGATGACCCACCTGACATTCAGAGGACTTTTGTAACAGTAGTTAGGGAGAAGATAGCCCAAGTTTCAACCCCATGCTCCAAACGTTACATGGTTTTTGTTGTCTTCTGGGCAGGTACTTCATAATGTCATGCTTTGCCTATAGCATAGGTTCTCTTTTTTACCTGAACATGCAGTTAGGAGACACTGAGGAGATGTCGTGCGTATCTGCTTTGACCATTGCAGTCCTTAAGGGACTTGGAGAGCTCTGTTCTCTAAGAGCTTGTGGTGAAGCAGAACATGAAGGGTTTATTGCCTTCTGCCTTTTCTTGGCTGTAAAGTTAAGCTTGTAAAGTGAGCATCCCCTAAGGCTGAGAGATCTCTGCCATACTTCTGAGCCCCTTGCACTCGGTGTGCCAAAGAAGTGGAAGAGGAAGAACATAGCTTGAGAACTCTGCTTTAAGCATCAGGCATCTGTAGATTTGTTTGTCTTACATTGGGATGCTAAATATTGCATCCATTAGTTCATTAGGAACCTTTCTGTAGATTTGGCTATACGTTGGATCAGTTGATGGTTTCTGGATGAAGAAATACTTTAAGCATGTGCTTTGCACAGGATGAATGCACTTGGAAGGAGCCTTCTTAGGAAAGTATTTTAGCATTTGGGTATGCTGTTTGCTGGCTGAGATGTGGGGCATTAATAAACTCATTTAGATCTGCTTCTGAGGATCCTATCCAGTATCCTATTGCCAGCTGTTTTAATAGAGGCTGGAAATTTAAATATCTATGTGGATCAGTTTTTAATTCCTGTGTGTGTCAGTATCCCTCCGTTGCTATGTAGTGTCAGTGACCATTATATAACCCTTGTAGGCTAATAAATCTTGAGCAAACATTGCAGGCATTTGAGTCACAGAGGAGAGAGTGACATAAAGATACAACATGGATTCAAGTAATTGTAATGTTGATTCCTATGGCAATTCTAATGTTGACTAATCATCATAGATTGTCTACTTACCATTTACTGACATGTAGTATAAAATAATAGGGGGACTTTTGCTACTGCAGTGTTTCTTTTCCTTCATTTCTGCTAAGGTAGTATTCTTTTTGGGGAAAGGACTTTCTCTACCTGTGTGTCTGATTCACAGTAATAGGTCACTAAGTTCCGGTTCAGAGAAGCAACGTAACAGAACTGAAATCAACCATATGAGTCAGAGTATATTATTAACACTTCTTTGGTTTGAGGGGCTGTGCAGAAAATGCATTAGGCACTGGAGAGAGATAATAGGAAATGCACTGGCATTTTCAAAACAACGTAGTAAGCACTTAGAACTTGCCTAAACCATTAGAGGACTGTGGTTGATTTTCAGTGAAACTTTTTCAAACATCTGTTTCACATGTAAGGAAATTTAGATTTAAAATTCTTATATTCTGTTGTACTCATAATGGTACTTAGGACACACAGCTTGGATTTCCAGAGGTATTTAGATGTTTAAAAAAATGCAAGCAAGTGTCTTGAGACGACCTCAGAACTGTTGAAAATCCCACTGGGAATCTCTTGCCTATTGGAGTAGACATAGGTTTGAAAGGGTAATGCTGATGACTTGCATGCTAACAGTATTGCTGATTCTCCTGTGCTCTTAGTCCTTACCCTCTCTCTGGGTTATGAGTATTTTGCAGCATCAGGCAAGAGAGAAACGATTTTTAAGTGAGGGAATATTACTAGTGAAATTGCTGTCATTGTGAGCAAGATTGAAAAGCAGCAGAGGTAAGACAAAGTAGTGGTGAGTGAGATAACAGAAGCCCCTTGATAATTTGTGATTCTTACTGCATGAAGCAGCAGTTCTATAGGAGGTTGTTTTCCAAACCAGTGGTCACCCAGTAGGGCTGAAAGGGAATTTTTTTTAACCCTCACTTGCCCATCTGAATGGGGAACTGCGTGTCACCATGGGAAGTTCACATAAAATTTGCACTATAGGAGCTGTGGCTTAAAGGGTCTTTGAAAAGCATGTTGTATGCATCTGTTATGTTTTCTTTACCCTGACATCAGACACTATAAATAAGATTTGTTTAGGGCAATGTGTCTCAGTCTTGTTGAACTGAAAAGCAATGCAAGCTCTCTGAAAAAGATCCTGTGTGCTCTTAAGACATCAGTTTTTATTTACAAGCAAATATATATTGGGTCACATCTTGAGTGTCTACTTACTCCTTTCATTTCTCTACTTTTTGTTTATTTGCTCGTGGACTTCTAAAACTTTTGGCTGTTGTTTCATGTGCTGTTTTACAACAAGCTGTTTTAGCATGTGAGGTTTAGAGCTGGGTTCAATCATGCAGTTAATTTCCAGAGAGCCCTGAGTGATTCAAGCTGACTGCTGCCTCCAAGTACTAACCCCTATAGGTGTCCTAATCCACAATGAAATTACCATTAAAGGGAACTTAAGGCTTAACTGCACTCTTTTCCTGAAGGTCAACCATAGTATCTAAAGAGCTAGGAGACTAGTTGATAAGATTGCTCAGTTGAGCACTACTGTATCTGGTGCAGGCAGTACATCAGGTGCTTCTCATCAAGGCTGTACTGAGATGTCCTGCATTGGAATGAGGAAGCTACACTTGAGTTTCATAAAAACTGATTTTCTTTTGCTGTCGCACAGGAACATTGTATCAATTCTTACTGCCCAAATTGGCTGGTTTTGTTGTTTTTTTCCTCCTCCCCTGAATACTGTCACTCTTTCACTTACGCTTCAATATCACTTCACTTCTGATTTTGAAACCTGAAAGAGTCATTTTATATTAACTTCTGACAAGAAATGACAGGCTTCCTGTTGATTTCAAGCACTGGGATTTTGTCTATTTTTTTTATGTAGACTATAGAGACAGAATTTAATAGCTTCTTGGAGCGTCCTAGAGTAAAACAAAGCAAAATATTTGTGCCAGACTTTATTGAGAGGGAGGCTTGAAGAGCTGGTTAATTAGTTGAGACTAATCAAGCAACGAGGCTGATGTTTGGATGCAGGTGCCTGCATGCCATAAGCTTTCCCCTATCCTCAAGTCTTCTCTGACTTGCTCTGCCTGAGTGCAGATCTTTCCTTGTCTCAGGTTGAAGAGCAGTTAAAGGTAAAGGTATTTTGGGTAGGGATGAGCATGGGATAAGGAGAATAGTGCTTGGTGCCTTGGGAAGGTGAGAGTTCATTGTGGAGTCCCCTCTCTTGGTTTTGCATTAGAGAGGGTGGTTGACAATGGATGTAAGTTTTTATTATGAACTTGTGTTATTTCTTATTTTATGGTAATTAATTAAAAAGTTATTGGTTCCATCAGTCTATTTTTTTTATCACTTAGCATTTCCCTTGAACAGCACTCTTCCCTCAAGGGGAAGGGAAAAGGTCTGATTTTGTACTGCTCTTACTGCTTTGACTTGGAGTTAGTAACAGCATGAGACAGCTGCAGCCTCACAATTGTGAAGAGCTTGACAAAAAAATGAGTATTTGGGAATAATTAGAGGTGAATGTGAAAAGAAATAGAGATGTAAATGTGGCTTGTATAAACATAAATTTGCAGGTACATTGCTAAATTGTAACCCTATGTCATGTTTGTAGGCTTATGGCAAAATAAACCATGGGACATAGGTTTGCATGGTACAAGTTCCACACACTAACCTAAAAAACTTGCCTGTTCCTGGGAATGGGCTGGAAGATCATCTGTATTGGCTTTCCCTTAGTTCTGAAGCCCTGTCTACAGGTGAGTGAGCCTCTCACTGAAGACTTTATTTTAACTTGAATGTGATGCTTGTTGTTGTAATAAGGGCAGGTAACATCCACTTCTTACAACTGTGTGGTGCAAGGAGCGTGTTCCAAATCACTGTGCTTAGTTCAATTTCAGATACAGTTGGAAGGTTATGCTGGCAACATTACTAAAATTACAAAGATGGCTCTAATGAGGTTATGATAATATGTGGCTAAATAGCAGCTAAAATGTGCTTAGCTTATTTAACAGAACTGTGATTTTGTTACATTAAGGGTTTAGATTTTTCTTTAAAAAATTATTTTGTTTCTGGTACAAAATGAGAGGAAAAAAGGCAGAGAAAAGAGTTGCTCTGTTGGGATTCATAGAGATTTGATAATAACCTGAAATTATTAAGTGTTTGCAGGCAGGTACGTCTACGCCATGACTAACCAGCTTGAGATGGAGTAAGTCCCTCTGGCTGGTGATGCTTATCTTTCTGATCCAGTCTTCTTAGCAGAAGGGAGACTCCATGGATTTTTAAAGTGGTTCTTTGAAAAACATGATCAGATGCCTGTTCCACAATCAACTTTCTTGGCCAAAACTACATCACTGAAAAGACTGTACCCTCAGAGGTGAAAAGATGCCCAACTACCATTAGGATTTTACTAGCTATTCTGCTGTTATTCCATTGTTAGAGGGAATGTTCACATTGAAACAATGAACTTCCCCTCTCTGGTCAGTGTCATTTTACGTGGAAGTTCCTGCACATTATAATGTATGCAATTTGGAAAATCAAAAGTTCTTGTGTTGAAAATACGTAAAGGTGAAATTTGGGGCAGTGTATTCAGTTAGGAATTTTAGAAGAAAAGTTCCTTAGAATTTTCAAGTAATTAACTTTTGATTCTTGTAGCTATTCTGCAGCTCAACACATTTAAAATCATTTATTAAGCAAATGTGAGTAACGTATTCAGGAAAAAAGATAAACAAGTGCCTTTAGGGATTTTACAATTTAAATGGAAAGTTGAAAAGCAAAATGATTTTCAATTTAAAAGAAATTAATATTGTTATCTAAGTAAATGTAAAAGTAATGGGTGAATTTGCTTGAGATTTGATGTTAAAGGACAGATTAATGATGAAAAATCTTTGATGGTATGGAGTGGAAAATTACTAATGTGTCCTTTCATAAATCTTTAATGTTTAATTTATTACTTTAAATATAAAAATGTAATTAGGAGACTGTAAATAAGCTATATGGCAACCTTTTGAGTTGAAATTTGTCTTCCTGCAGTTTAGAACAGCACTTTGCTGAAGAGGGTTAGGTACTTACCCCCAAAGTTAATTTATTCAGCAGATCGTGCATAAGATGTGCTGAAGTCAGAATGGCACCTACCTGGCTATGGCCTACTCCTGACACTGAATTGCAGTGGCAATGTGGCCTCTGTCTGCCTGCAGTATCAGTGCTGTGCCTGCAAGTTCTGAATGTTGCCTCAATCTGTGAAGTGCCCATGCCAGCAGCTGTAGGGCAAGCACTAAGGCTGCTGCTGTCATAACCATGATGGATGACAGCGCTGTCTTGAATATCAAGCTGCTTCTTCTTGGCCCTGAATGGGAACGTAATTATGCCGAAGTGATGGTTTTCAGACTGCTATTCTTGCCCAGCACAGCTGTTGTCTAACAACTGAAAAGAAAAATCAAAGTAACTAATGCTAGATTCTTAGGGGATGAAGGCATCTCTAGAAAATGCAGTCCTGAGTGGCGCATGCTGACCAGAAAATGCAGTGTGGGTAAGGCTTTGTTTTAGCATCAGCACTTTGGTTAGTGCTAGCAAGGTGTAATGTAGATAAGACATTTTATCTACATTAGAGAGGTGGGCATGTAGGAAGGTCTGCTTTGGGCCTCCCAGGGTCAGGTTTGGATTTTAACCAACACATGCGATAATATTACTCAAAATCTCTGGCTATTTTTGGAGAAGATATTTTAAGTGGCTGGCAATAGTCTGGAGAACAACAGATGCTAACAGTGGAAGGACACAAATAATACTATTTGTGACAGCTCATCGATTTCTTTGTCAAATCCTCAATAAAAGAGTGAGAAATGAAGCTATCTCAGTAGCATTTGGGAAGGGAGTGAAGCTTTTTTTTTTTTTTAAAGCAAAAGAAAAAGCTCTTGATCAGAAGAAATAAATAACCTTTTAAAGTGTAATCATGGGTTAATCCAGCCTAATTTAGAAGGAGGAAGAAGCACAAAGAGGCCAAAGCTTGGGAGCAGGATACAATATGTAGGAATTTGCATCACGGGGAAAGGGAGAACAGTTCAGGAAAGAACATCACTGTCTGTCTTGAGACATACAAGGAATAAGCAAGCACTGAGGTTACAAACTAATTGGTGAGTTCACAGATGAAACATCAGGAAGTACAGGGGACTGCCAAGAGTCATTCTGGGTTAGACCTTGAGAAAAGATTGATGCTGGTAGTCTAAGCTTCACCCCTTTCTAAATGAAAGGAGAACAAAGACATGATGCTATTGAGGCAGGAGATAAATTTCAGGTTGCCTGATATTCTGCCTCAGAATATTTTTTTAATAATGTTGAACTAAAGCAAATATTCTAAATGATAATGAACTGGCACAAAGTAAATGCCTGTGCTGGAGGAGGGGATCAGACTTTGGGATTTCGATGTACACTGACTGCAGGTAAAGGGTGAGCTGATTTGCTCTGTAAAAACCCTGAACATCTGGCTCACGAAACTGCCAACACAGAATCAGATTTTATTTTTAACAAATTGTCTATCTGCCTAGAGAATAGCTGAAAAGATGCTTAAACTTAAGCAGGAGGAGGCTGAAGAGTTCTCAGGAGAGCCACAGACCTCTGAGTGTGACCTTAGTGGCAGTTAAGATTTCAGAACATATTTTGGAGGAAAATGTAATTAGAGACCTGGAAATGCAAGTTAGGGAAATAAAAACAAGGATAACTAGAATCCATGGTGAGTCCATTATAACATTGCAGTGAGTGACACTAGATGGATGTCAGGCAGAATTGAGTTTGGACTTAGGCCCAGAGGACATCTTGCTGTATGTGCAGACACTGCATTCAAATTTTGGGATGGCAGATTTCAAGAATAAAAGCTCAATTCTGACCACTGTGTATGCAAACAGATTTTGTGGTTCTCTGCCACCTGCAGTACTTTTGCAGGATAGACTTCACAGCTGCTGTTAAAGAGGGGAAGGAGTAGGGCTGGTTGAAAGCCAACACCTTTACAGACTTTATTCCCTTTTCAAGCAAACTGAAGATTTTTTTGTTCTTTTGTTTGGTTTAAGGATCCCTAGTAGGAGAGAGAGATGACTGGGAGGTGGCAGCATTTAGAGAAGTGGGAATGTTTTCATTGGATTGTTGTTAAATGATACTGAACTTGGGAGTGCAAGGTGATAAGTGTCCTGTATTCTTCAGCTTTTACAGACTGAAGAAGCACTAGGGCCTCACTTTCCTCTGTAGCAATTCCTCTAGAATTATGTATTTCATCAGAAATTCACAAAAGACAGCAGTTTTTTCTCTTCTTAAAATATTTTCCTAAAATTATACTTTTTTTTTACTCCCTTGACATTCCCTGAATTTTTATATACTGAGTCATGAAACAGGCTTTGGCTTCAGCTCTGCCCCCTCTAGACATTGCTTGCAGTTTCTAGAGGTAATTCTGGAGTTCAAGCCAGTAGGTTTTCTGTGAATTGAATTATCTAGTTCTGCTGGAAGAGACAAGAATTTGTAAGATTCTCTGTGATCAGCCCCTAGATGCATCTAACTGCTTGTATGTCTCTAGCAAGGCTGGTCATAGATAAACTTTGGCTGGAAGCTGAAAGGAAGTTCTTGAACTTCTGAGGACTAGGAACAGATGTCAGTTTTCCTGTGGGGGACATTAAGTTGTAGTTGTTCAAGCAATGACATGATCTCCTTTTGCTACATCCCAGTCGTCTTAAGTGCTGTTCAACTCCCAGAATTTTTCCCAAGGAGTAGATAACCACATGGTTGATGAGGTTATACTAGAATCACAGTAACAGAATCAATATTTTTCTCACATCCTCCAGAAAGCAGTGCTAGAGAGTAGAGTGCCTGAGGGGACCATTTCCATGTGCATTCCAGGTGGCACATGGTGGCAATATGAACTGAGATAAACCCACATCAGATTGAGGCCATCTCTGGAAACCCACCACTTCCTTCAGAAAGAGAGTGGAAATGTTTCTTCAGGAACTTGATGTGGATCCAAACCAGTGCCCTTGACAAAAGAAGAAATTGTAGACTCTTGTCTTCCCATAATAGTGTGTACCACCAAGTCATTGATTACTTGTCCATTACCTCTAGCAGCTTCCTCTGACTAAAAGTTAATTGTTTCTCACTTGTCATAATCCTTCATTATCCATGCTGATTTGTTAATGAAGAAAAACCAGAAGCTGAATTTCTTGTATGTGCTTCTGATTCCTGAAACTGAGATATTAGGTGCACATCTGTTTTCCTCATGTCTACTCTGTAGTGATAGAAGTTAGGAGTCTTTCATTCAACTACAGGTGGGTGATGCAAGCTCTGGCTACAGATTGAACTCTCATTTTTTGGATCCTGCCCTGTCTTGGTGCTGAGCCAACAAAATCAAATTGAGAATGAGATTCAACTTTGATACAGTAATTCTCATTCAAAACTAAAATTGTATACTGGCAATCACTTTTGATTAGAATGATTATTGTAGCATTGGGAAATGATCTGTGCAGATGCCAAGGTAGCATGACTATAATCTTGATGTTCTTCCTGCTCTCCTATGCGTCTTTGCTGCACGTGGGTTTCTGGAAGCCTTGAATGCAGCCTGGTTCACTAATAGGAAAGCAGCTGTCATGTGGTGCAGAACGGTGTATCTGCAGCATATGGTCTGCAGTGGCACCTTTTAGATCTTGCTCAGCAGTCCCAAATGGTAGAGCAAACAAGTCACACAGAGCCAGCAGTCTGGACTGGGGATGTTTAAGGTCGCTGCACTACGTTACAGATGGACACCATTAAAAAGTCAATTGGAGCAGCTTTGCTGCCAGTGTTGTAATCAGGGTGGGAGTTTTCTACTCTTGACAGCATCACTGTCCTTGCCAGCTGAAGACTGTGCCCTTTCATGGCAGTTTGTGGTGGTTGCTTGTGGCAATTCTGGAGCTGACTGGACTCTAGAGTAGATCTGGACAGAGATTCAAGGAAGGGAAAGATCTGAAATAG